AGAAGATCAACAACTTACCAAGTTTGCACACTACTCTAATCACCTGACCTTCCTACTACACTGCAGAGATTTGAACATCGTCCCAAACTTTCTGATACTCAAGGAAACTACTTTCACCAGAACTACAAAGAATAAAAAAGTTCTTGACAATACCAGTAGGCACCTCTTAAGATTACATATAGAAGAACATAGGTGTAAGAAGCACCATCTAACCAAGACAACTGGAACACAACATGCTGAGCTTCAACAACTTTTTCACCATAAATACAAAAGCACTGGACATCTTAAGCCTTTTCACCAAATGCTATACATACAACCCAGAAAGCATTAAGAAGAAACAAGTCCATAAATTCAATAGACTTACCACGAATGATAATCCTACAACAACAAACATAGTTCACAATTACAATTCGAGACTACCAAGTGTTACAGAAAACAAAATTCTTAACTTAGGTCTGAACTTTGCCATACAACCCAGCACAATTCCAACTGTTGACACTGCTGCAACCTTAGAATTTGCTGAATAAAACCTCCTGAAACCTATGGCTGAACAATCCCAACATCAAACATACACCATCCTCAAGAATGCCAAAAAAACAAACATCACTGAACAGAAATGCAGTGCACTGAACCGTATAAAACAAGACAACACTATCAAGATTCTACCAGTGGAGGAAAGAAACAGTACAGTCATCCTAGCCTTCAAAGATTATGACCTTAAGATCAAACAGTTACTAGACAAACACCAATACAAAAAGATCAGCAGTGATCCTCCAGAAAGGACAGAGAGACTCATCAATAGAACACTGAACAATCTAAAGAAGCAAAACTTAATCAACAAGAACCTAGCAATTTTCCCCTTCAGTTCTATGGACTACCTAGGACACACAAACCTAATATACCTTTAAGGCCTATGGTCAGTGCTATAAATTTGCCATCAACTAGCTAACTTCTTGGTACCCATCCTATTTTCACTACAAGAAAATATCAAACCTCACATTCACAACTTTACAGATTTCATGGAACAACTCGGAAAGCTACCTATCAGATTCCAGGATATTCTGGTCAGTTTTGATGTCACAGATCTATTTACGAATGATCCAACCTCAGAAACCCTTCAGATCACCAGACAATGACTGCTGAATGACAGCTCTGTACCACATGGAATTGACATGAAAACAGACACCATCATGGAACTAACAACTATCTATAGTTTTGTGGAATGATTGAGATGAGGTGTTAGAAGTACTAATGGTATAATTATTTGGACTAGTATTCTCGTCTCTATTACTCGCATTATAATTTTCACAACAGTTCAACCAATGAATCTGTCCAAAGAAGAGCGAGCAGCTATCAAGACAATCAAGAATGATGAAACAGTTGTCATACTCCCAGTTGACAAAGGAAATGCCACCATTGTCATGAAAAAGGAGGAGTACACTCACAAGCTCAACAACCTAGTGAATGATGGAACATACACAAAATTGCAGAAAGACCCTACATCTGTGACCAAACAAAAAATGTTCAAGATCTTGATAAAGAACAAGGATAAAGGATACTTGACTGACACACAATATAGACAGTTGAATCAATATTACAACAAACTACCACACAGCCTACCAAAAATTCACAAGACTGGCATACCACTAAGACCAACTGTCAGCTGCTGGGGCTCAGCATGTCACCCCCCATTGGGCCAATTCCTGGTCAAGATAACCAGTTCCCTGAGTGGGAAGTCATCCTCATATGTGAAGAACTCCACCCACTTCATCTCCTTGATCAAGAACATGCCCATAACACCTGGCATACAAATGGTTAGCTTCGACTTTGTGAGCCTGTTAACCAATGTACCAACAGTTGAGGCCTTAATCGAAGTGAGGAAATGACTAGAAATGCATGACACTCTACTGGAAAGAACATGCATCCTAATCATTAACATCATGGAATGTGAAAGCAACATATTACTATTCCTAGACATCCAAGTGGAAAGATGTGAACGATACAACATAAGGACCATCTTCAGAAGTAATACAATACTTGAAAACTCACCAAAGTCAGACCACCAACATCTAAGGAGCAAATAAAGAATTGCGTATATGACATTCCATGCAGTTGTGATAGATCATACAAAAAAGAAACAGGTCGTTCTCTGTTTGTGAAACTGGAAGAGCATAGGAAAGCAACCATCCAGGAGTGCGATCGATAAGCCTGGCATAGCAGAACATGCATGGTCTGATGGAGAACACAGATCAGCATAGAATAAAGTCACTGTCATTGGCACAGAGTCACATTGGAAAATAAAGAAGATAAAAGAAGCGGCACCATTAGCAATGACTACTAATCCCCATCAGTAAGCCAAGTGTAGACATAAGCCCGATATGGCTCCCGTTATTACAACAAAATTGGGACAAAAAATAATAGAGATTAAAAATATAGAGGTACTTCCAAAACAACTCAAAAGTGTCCTTCTGATAGCCAAGTGATCAGAGTGCCCATATTCGGATCAGGGTTTTAAATCCTGGTAGTTCCACAAAAAGCTTTCTGGTTGTAAATCATACAAAATGTCTAATATAATACCTGACGATGGCTGGTCAAATTCACTGGTCGAAACATTGTGAAAATAGTAATACACATAATAAAGACGAGAATAATAGTCCGAATAATTATACCCTTAGTAACGACTTTTTGTCTACAATCAGCTTACTTCCCATACAATGAGGAATTTTACAAACAAATAAGTGGTCTAGCCTTGGGATCACCACTCTCTCCAATCCTAGCAAACATCTTCATGGAACACTTTAAAAGAAAGAGCTCTTTCATCTACACACATGAAACCAAGTTTCTACAGATGTTATGTTGACGACATCTTTGTTATCTTGCCCCACAGTTATGAAAACTTACCAGCCTTCCTAGAACATATTAATTCTATTGACAAAAGGTTCCACTTCATCATGGAAATAGAAGAACAAAACAACCTTCTATTTCTTGACATACTTATCAGCAGACAAGAGAGAAAATCGCCACAACTGTATACAGAAAACCCACCCAATGAACAGATTTCTACACTTCCAGTCCTTCATCCAACTTTGATAAAACGTGGTATAATCCAGTGCCTAAACAAGAGAGCAGAAAACATTTGCGATAAGACATCCACTGAAACAGTATGCCACATGATTGTAGAGTGCTTTAAAAGAATGGTTAGACCTTCTCCTCCTCCAGAAACTCCCTGAAGAAGACCACAACAGAAAGAAAAGATAAAGAAAAACACTACTACCATTTACCTCCTCTAACTGCAAAGTTTGATTGAAAAACTCAAATGCATAGCCTAGAAATTCAACACAGAGGTCCAGTGGAAATCCTACAAGACATTAAGGTCCATTCTGGTAAAAAACAAACAGAAACCAACCGATGAAAAACACAAACATTGGAGAAACGGGAAGAAGACAAAATAAACAAAATGGACACAAAATAAACTGAAAAAAACTTAAGAGTCATCGACACAGACAGATTTTGGAAGACAAGAAAAATCAAACAATCCTTTCATATTAACACAGTAAAACCTTCACTAAACAGAGATGCCGGATTAGAGGTGAGTAACCTGTGGCTACCTCTGGTTGAAACATGGATAAACTAACCAATTATAACACACAATCCACCAGAATACTATAAAGAAATGGGAAGACGACTCATGACAAGAATAAAAAACATAAAGATGGTACAAGACTCATGAAAATATAAAATTAAGCCATTGCAGGACACACCATGTCAACTGTACACAAAATAAACTGAGAAAAAACTAGAGTCATCGACACAGACAAATTTTGAAAGATAAGAAAAATCAAACAATCCTGTTACATTAACAGAATAAAACCTTCATTAAACAGAGATGAGTAACCTGTGAATAACATTTGTTGAATCCACAGGAAGTCTCTCCACAATCAGAAACAGGGATAAACCAACGAATCATAACACACCATCCACAATCCACCAGAATACTATAAAGACCAACAACACCATACACACAGTGATCTGAAGATGAAAGGCAGAAGAATTTCAAAATGTTGTCCTCTACACTTGTGTTTCTACAACAGGCAGTTGCCATCCATTCAACTAAATTTCATCAACTGTTATTATATAATATACTTAATAGTAGTAATATTTGTAAGATAGTTTTCAAAACTTCTTTATTTAATTTCATTTCATTTGTACTTTCAGACAGAATTTGTATGCTCCCCAACGACTCTCCATGTCCCTTTTGAGGCATGCACACCACAGTTTGTACACTACAACTCTAATATAACACTTCTTTTACAAGATCCAATCCACCCTTTATACATTCATGTTCAATACAGTGACCATCTTCAACATAATCTTGATAACAAATCTTGGAGTATGGATTGTAAAAAACAGGTTGATTCATTAGCTTTAGATGAAAATACTTATTTCTGAAAAGAACAGTTTTGACTACAATCTTGTATATGAATTGATAAAAGGGCACTGACATTGGGGTTTGATCTGCAAGTGGAGCTCCAAATAAATAAAACTTGTGGTCAACCCTCTATTAACAATTTCTTTTATAGTGTTCATTACAGATGGGGTTTACAAACTGCATCATATTGAGTAATTTTATATTTCAACCTGTTACAATTCTCATTATAAGAAAGTGAACAAATAAATTGGGTGAAATCATTCCTTCTCTATGTCAACCACAAAGAGGACCTTAACAGTAATTAGTCAAATAAAATGAGTGTATTTTAGTTTAAATTGTTGTGTGTTACTCGTAAATTATCAGGAAACCTGTACCTAACAAAGACATGTATCCACAAAAAATCTAGCGCATACACACTTCAGTGAATGAATAGTACTTTGAGAACCTGAACATAACAGAGGTTAAAATGTATCAAAACGACTTAACATATGGAGTTTGAGGATCTTTTTTATATCTTAACAAACAAATGTTTAATACATAAATAGTGACTATATACTTAATATTTTCATACTTTTTATCATCTTCTGCTTTAGCAATATGACCAAAGATGTGAGCAAAAGAATTTGGAATAATGCCTTTCAGTTCTGGCGTTGAACGAACCCCTTCCATGGTAAATGTTTTACCTGTTCCAGTCTGACCATATGCAAAGATTGTTCCTAAAATAATTCAAAATTTGACCCAAATTCATTCACACTTACATTTCAATGAATTAATGTGCAACTGTTCTTTCATTACACCTCTCCTAAATATCTTTCTGTACTTTACTTAAATTCTTTACATCAAGAAAAGAAAGAAATCTTAACAAAATACAAAAAATTTAACTTTTAAACATTTCTTTAATATAATTATAGTACCAAAAATTGTTTTTTCATAGTACTTTAGGTAAGTTATTAATTAATTACCACACAAATAAATATCAGAACCAGATATTTATAGACTAGCTCACAAGATAATTTTTTTTTTCTGAGATTGATAAAATTACTAAACACAATACACAAAACATACAGCACACATTACTGAAAAAACATTAAGATAATCATAAACTGCCAATATTCTTTAACTAAGTGTATCTGAAAAATGTTTATCATTTCTTATAAAGAAATGTTCCATAATACATAAACATCTAACTATTTAATCAAAGCTTGTAACACTTTTCAAACTTCAACTGAGAATAAACAATGATATTTTTCAAAAAAAAATATCAAGAAAAACAGCATTTCAACAAATAGGCTTAGATTCATTATTTTACCATTATATCCTTCTAGAACATTTTCTACAATGGGTCTTGCTGCCTGGTTGTAGACCTCAACTTGTTTAGATTCATATCCAAATACTGTGTCAAAGGTAAACATTTTAGGAGGTTCCTCTTCAGAGCTATTAGGATTACACACAGTAATTGAGCCTTGTACTGGTTCTACCTAAAAGTAACAACAAATCATAAACTCTCAGTTGTCACATATAAATTAATGCAAACTGTAAATACATTATCTAACATTATTAAAAAGAAGTTATTAAAAGATGTTTTTAAGCTGTAGTAGTTGAGAAAACTGCTAGATTTTACCTCTCCATAAGTTAAAAAATATTGATTTTTCTATGTGCATTATATGCATTTTGAAAACTTTCATGAAAGTATTCTGTAGTTAGCCAAAAGCCTCACAATAGAATGTACAGTCATAAATGTGTAATAATCTCTGACTCAGACTAGGTTAATTTACAGCAGTGACCATTTGATAAACCTTATACTTGTTTGAACATGATTGCGTCATCATTCATCTGGAGTTATGGATTAATCTCCCCTTGAACGTGTATAGAGGAAATGATCATTGATGTAGGTAATACAATATTACAAAATTCTGCACATTAACTATTACCTGAGTTAACAGTGTGGGAAAGACACAAGGCTTTTGTTTTTTTGTGAAGTTGCTTCTTTTATCTCCAAGCACTAATATCTAGAGGTGTTATTACAAATCTTTACAGGTTCACAATTAACCTTACGTGTACATGTAGGGTCAAAGTGCACAGGTCATGACCTTTCACAGAGTGACATTCAACATTGTATTAAGTTACCACCTATTCATTTTACCTTACAATGCTGAAATTGTGAACTCATGGTTGAGGAGAGTAAATACCAGATACCATACAAAGGGATACTGAAAAAACTCTAGGTAGGCATTTCAGAACTCCTAGAGATTATGCAAATGCTATATAAAAACTGTATGATGGACAAAATATTTTTATTCTTCTCATGAACATTTCCACACATTTTGACAGAGTTTGAGTCAGACACTGTCAATTCACAGACATATCTAGAGTACAAATACTTTGTAATTCAATCAACATTTTGTGTACAACAGAGAAGTACATTTTATTACGAACTTGCCAAATTTTGTGTAGATACACATAGAAAGTAAATTCAGAATTAGTAAATATTCCTTATCCTTAATACATATATTCAGGTACATATACATATCTAATTAGATCAAGTATGCCTCTAAAACCATTTCAAACAGCCCAAGCCACATATAGAAATAACTGTTCAGTACAACCTGAAGATTCAAATTATGCAAGTCATTAGACACATATATGATGACGTCACACTTCCAATATTGCCACCATATTTGAGAAATTTATAGTTTATTCATTCTTCTTCTGATTTGACACAAATAAATCTTCTGATTTCATAAAAAACAGTTGAGGGTTGTTATTTATCTTTTGCTGTGTTGTATTTATTGTTCAGAACCCTTTTGAATAGACAAATAATGTCCTCTTTAGGCCAGTTTTTTGAAGGTGATTTGTGAATACAGATAATGAAATAATAAAACAATTATAACTAATCAGTTTCCCTTTTCATGAACACAGGGTTGTCATCTTTTCTGAGAGGTAAGACAGCAAGTTTCAAACCTATCGGCATGTCACAGTGGCTCACATTCACTGTACCTCAATTCTTCAACCCTGAATACACTAGTGTAATAACTGTTTACATACATCATCAATATCCTCATTTGCAATGTTTTCACATTTAACGGCATAGAATGATCATTCAAGAATGTATCCACTTTCTGACTCGTATAATCCAAAATCCTTGAATACCCATTTATCCAGTTTCTTAGAGTTTTACTGTTTCAAAACACTTTGTCCTTTGAATGTGTGCAAATTTGGAAATTATCATATCAGTCAATCAGTGGATGCACCTTAAATGACCTGCCATGACAAGAAGCACCTCTGGCAACTTGATCATTACATAGGCCTGCAAATTTAAACTTTATAAAAGTTTTTTGGTTTTAATAATGGATTTTCCATAATCGAGCTATGCAGATTTCGAAAATGATATTCATTTTTTCTATTACGTAAGGATTTTTTCAAATCAGGAAGAAAACAAAATTTTACTTATATCAATTATTATTTTATTTAACCACAATGAACATATTATAATTATTATGTTTGTTAACAAAAATACAAACAAACTGATGAAAATGGAAGAACACTGATGTCAAACGAATATGCATACTCATTCATCCAGATTTTTTGTGTGTGAAATCTAAGTCTTTTAGTTTCAAAACTAAGTGTTGTGGTCTTATGTATTGCGTCTGAAGCATCTCATTTCAATGACCAGCAGTAATCAGCCATCATGCTGATGTTCCACCTTCCCTGATGTCTTGATGAAACTTTTCCCCCTGTTCTTCGCTGACGGCACCAAGATTTTCAGGGAAATAGTCAAAATATGAGAATATTAGAAATGAATTTTCCAGCTCATATTACAACCCAATCTTTTGAGTTTATTGAGCATGTTATTGACAATATTTTCGTAATTTGGGTCCTTGTTGTTTTCTCAAAATTCATCAATATCTTTAAAGGCAATCCATGCTTCTTTTTCAACTTTCCTCATTGTCCTTTTGAACTGTTCATCCGAAATTAATTTATTAATCTGAGGTCCAACAATAATACCTTCTTTAAGTTTTGCTTATGAAAGATCTGGGAATTGCCAGATACTTCAAACAGTTACCATCTTTATCTAAGGTCTTTGTAAACTGCTTCATCAAGCTCAGCTTTATGTGAAGTGGAGGTAATAGGTCTTTCTTTGTGTCAACCAAACTTTCACGTTCAATGTTTTTCGATCCTAGTATCAGGCTGATTCTGCATGTCCATTGCTTCTTTATCCAATGCTGACTTTGTGCTCTGCTGTACCATTCACACAAAAAACATGGAAACTTTGTATGGTTGGTTGTTTAGTGTTTTATGGCACAAAGAAACTAGGCTATCTGCACCAAACAACTGGTAAAAACAGTAAAAGTAAATTGTAGTAAAACGTAAAAATAAATTGAGTTAAAACCAAAATATGTCCAAATAGATAAAAGAATTAAACAGAATTAAAAAACTAACTGTTCTTAAAAAATTGAAAATACAATCAAGATGGACAGCATCACCATCGCCAGTGACACTGTCGAACGTCAAGGGTAAATCCTTACAAAACACCTGTCTAAAAGATGTGTAGCAATAGCATTAATTTTGACACTAAAAAGTGTGACACTCTAGACACAGTCCTGAGGGACTCCAAGTTCCTGTGGAAAGGAACGGGAAAGAGTCAAACCCACACGGATTTGGAATCGCCTGTCCAGTAAAAAGTTCTAAATAAAAATGGGTAAATGGTCACGCAACCCATAGGAGTGGAGGTCCTGCAAAATACCATACCTCCACATAATGTCATAAGCCTTCTCAAGATCAAAGAACACAGAAACAAGATGTTCTCTCTTCAGGAAGGCTTCCCTGATTGACGTTTCAAGTCAAATCAGACAGTACACTCTGAAGCGCTGTCGACAGAATTCACACTGGGTGGGCAAGAGGAGCTTGTTTGATTCAAGAAGCCAAACAAGATGAGCATTAACCATCCTCTCTAAGACCTTAGAAGGACAGCTAGTCAAAGCAATGGGTCAATAATTAGAAGGAATCTTGGGATCTTTCCCAGGTTTAGAGAAAGGGAGGGCAATAGCCTGGTGCCAAACATCAGGAAGAACAGACTCCTGCCAGATCTGGTTAAAAATAATCAGAAGAATAGCAAGAGAGGCAGGAGCGAATTGGAACAGCATCTCATAATGAACATTATCAGGTTCGACCGATGTACTGCCAGACCGATGAAGAGCAAGTTTGAGTTCCAGTGTAAAGGGGCAATTATACTCATATAAACGATCAGCCCGAAAGGAATGAGGTGATCGCTCTGCCTGAGATTTGATGGCCAAGAAGACAGGAAAAGAAATAGAAGTGCGAGATGCAGAGAAAAGCTGTGGGCAAGAGCATCATCAATGCTCTGGACATCACCAACTTCCTGGCCATTAGAGAGCAAGATGGAAAAGGGATGGGAAGCATACCACCTAGTGACGTTCCAAATCTTGTCCCATATGGTTTTGGAACTGGTAGTAGAAGAGATGCTAGCAGTGAACTTAATCCAAGACTCCCTTTGGCTTTGACGTCAAACCTGCTGAGTGTGGGCATGAGCCCACTGCTAAACTATGCAGTTAGAAAGAGAGGGGTACTGGTGGAACGTATTCCAGACCCGTTTTTGAGCCTTCCGTGCCTCCTGGCAGGCAGGACTCCACCATGAAAACGTGTCGAGGTCTTAGGAATAAAGTGAGCAGCTGCCTGAACGATACAGTCAGTCACTGCTACCACACAGTTGTCTATTGATGGCAGACAAACAATGGCAGGATCAAGTTTGGATAGAGAAGTGAAAGAGAGCTAAGTGAGCCTGGTCCAACTTCCACCTTGGCACTCAGATTGGGTGGCATCGACCATGGCCAACTTTCCTCAAATCAAGAGGAAAATGATCACTGCCTCGTTGGTCACTGTCAACTGTCCAAGAAAAGTGGGAGAAAAGTGAAGGGGAGCAGATTGAAAGATCTATAGCAGTGAAAGACTGACTAAGTGCATGAAAAATATGTACAAGATCCAGTATTGAAGAGAAAAAGGTTGTGATCCGAGAGCATATGCTCTATGGAATGACACCTCCCATCAATATCAGCACAAACCCAGAGGGGGTTGAGTCCATTAAAGTTTCCCAGGATTAAAAAGACAGATGGCAACTGTTCAACAAGAGCATCATGGTCCAATTGATCACAAGTCTCTCCAGGAGACAAGTTGAGAGAATAAACAGTGATGATACGACCCAAGGAAACACGAATGATGACAGCCTTCAAGGGTGTATCGAGTGACACAAATAACGGGGGGACACGCTGGTCGACCAACAAAGCCACCCATCCATGCACTTGAACATCACACAACCTGTCACTCCGGTACAAAGAAAACTGCTGAAAGGTGACAGTATTGGCAGGTTTCAGAAATGTTTCCTGCAAAGTGAGACACATGAGATGATACGGATCGATCAAGGCCTAAATGTCATCGAGATTAGAAAAACCTCGATAGTTCC